ATTCCCTGTGCGATCTCCTTATGAATACGGCCATGCCTTTTCCCCGTCTCCTTAATTTTATTTTATTTTTTTTGAGATGGAGTCTCGCTCTGTCGCCCAGGCTGGAGTGCAGTGGCATGATCTTGGCTCACTGCAAACTCCGCCTCCCGGGTTCATGCCATTCTCCTGCCTCAGCCTCCCGAGTAGCTGGGACTACAGGCGCCTGCCACCATGCCCGGCTACTTTTTGTATTTTTTTTAGTAGAGATGGGGTTTCACCGTGTTAGCTAGGCTGGTCTTGATCTCCTGACCTTGTGATCCACCCACCTTGGCCTCCCAAAGTGCTGGGATTACAGGCGTGAGCCACCAGGCCCAGCCTCATTTTAATATTCTTTTGAGTTGGGTCTTGCTCTGTCACTCAGGCTGGAGTGCGATGGCGTGATCATGGCTCACTGCAGCCTCGAAATCTTGGGCTCAATTGATCCTTATGTGTCAGCCTCCTCTGAGTAGCTTGGCCTATAGGCATGTGCCACCATGCCCAGCTAATTAAAAACATTTTCTTCCTTTTTTTGGAGCGACGGTATTGTTACCAGAAAGGGGTCCTGATCCAGATCCCAAGAGAGGGTTCTTGGATCTCGTACAAGAAAGAATTTGAGGCGGGAAAAAAAAAAATTCAAGGCAAATCCATAAAGTGGAAGCAAGTTTATCAAGAAAGTAAAGGACTAGGCCGGGCGCAGTGGCTCATGCCTGTAATCCCAGCACTTTGGGAGGCTGAGATGGGTGGATCACGAGGTCAGGAGATCGAGACCATCCTGGCTAACATGGTGAAACCCCCGTCTCTACTAAAAATACAAAAATTAGTTGGGCGTGGTGGTGGGTTCCTGTAATCCCAGCTACTCGGGAGGCTGAGGCAGAGAATTGCTTGAACCCAGAAGACGAAGTTTGCAGTGAGCCGAGATCCTGCCACTGCACTCCAGCCTGGAGACAAAGGGAGACTCCATATGAAAAAAAAAAGAAAAAGTAAAGGAATAAGAGAACAATGGCTACTCTACAGGCAGAGCAGTTATTTCTTGATTATATGCTAAACAAGGGGTGGATTGTGAGTTTTCTGGGAAAGGGATGGGCAATTTCCCCTCTCCCCCAACTGAGTGCTCCTCACCTTTTTAGACCATATAGGGTAACTTCTGGTTGTTTCCATGGTATCTGTCATGGTGCTGATGGGAGTGTCTTTTAGCATGTGAATCCATTATAATTAGCATATAATGAGCAGTGAGGGTGACCAGAGGTCACTTTTGTTGACCAGCTTCTTTACCACTGTTTGATCACCAAGGTCTTTGTAATCTGTGTCTCATGTCGATCTTTTTTTTTTTTTTTTTTTTTTTTTTTTTTTTTTTGAGGCGGAGGTTTGTTCTGTTGCTCAGGCTGGAGTGCAGTGGTGCGATCTCAGCTCACTGCAACCCCTACCTTCCGCGTTCAAGCTATTCTTCTGCCTCAGCCTCCCGAGTACCTGGGACTACAGGCGTGCACCACCACGCCAGGCTAATTTTTGTAGTTTTAGTAGAGACAGAGTTTCGCCATGTTGGCCAGGCTGGTCTCAAACTCCTGACCTCAGGTAATCCCCCACCTCAGCCTCCCAAAGCGCTGGGATTACAGGCATGAGCCACCGTGTCCAGCCCTTGTGTCGATCTTCTATCTCATCCTGTGACTAAGAATGCCTAGCCTCCTGGGAATGCAGCCCAGTAGGTCTAAGCCTCTTTTTACCCAGCCCCTATTTAAGATGGAGTTGCTCTGGTTCAAAAGCCTTTGATAGTATCTTATTATACTGTGCAGGCTGATCTTGAGCTCCTGTCTTCAAGGGATCCTCTTGCCTCAGCCTTCCAAAGTGGTGGGATTACAGGTGAGAGTCACCATACCTGGCCCTTTCCCTTATCTCTAATTTCTGGCAACCACTAAACTAGTCTATCCTCCATGTCTATACTTATGTTATTAATATTTCACAAATGTTAAATAAATGCAATAATACAATATGTAACTTTTTTTTTTTTTTTTTTTTTTTTTGAGACGGAGTCTCGCTCTGTCGCCCAGGCTGGAGTGCCCTGGCCGGATCTCAGCTCACTGCAAGCTCCGCCTCCCGGGTTTACGCCATTCTCCTGCCTCAGCCTCCCGAGTAGCTGGGACTACAGGCGCCCGCCACCTCGCCCGGCTAGTTTTTTGTATTTTTTAGTAGAGACGGGGTTTCACCGTGTTAGCCACAATGGTCTCGATCTCCTGACCTCGCGATCCGCCCGTCTCGGCCTCCCAAAGTGCTGGGATTACAGGCTTGAGCCACCGCGCCCGGCCATATGTAACTTTTTATGATTGGCTTTTCTTCAGTCAGCATAACTCCCTTGAAATCTATCCAAGGGAATTATGTATATTGCATGTATTAATAGTTTGTTATTTTTTTCTTTTGTTGAGTAGCATTCCAGGGTATGGATGTAGCATGGTTTCTTTAACCAGTCACATGATGAAAGACATTTGGGTTGTTTCCAGTTTTCAGTTATAACAAATAAAGCTACAACGAACATTTGTGCACAGGTTTTTGTATGAACAGAGCATAAGTTTTCATTTCTTTCTTTTTTTTTTTTTTTTTTTGAGATAGAGTCTCGCTCTGTTGCCCAGGCTGGAGTGCCATGGCACAATCTTGGCTCACTGTGACCTCTGCCTCCTGGGTTCATGCCATTCTCCTGCCTCAGCCTCCCAAGTAGCTGGGACTACAGGCGCCCACCACCACACGTGGCTAATTTTTATATTTTTAGTAGAGACGGGGTTTCAACGTATTGACGAGACTGGTCTCAAACTCTGGACCTTGTGATCCGCCTGCCTCGGCCTCCCAAAGTGCTGGGATTACAGGCGTGAGCCACCGCGCCCAGCCAAGTTTTCATTTCTGTTGGATAAACGCCCAAGAGTGCAATGGCTGGGTCATATGGTAAGCATATGCTTAGTTTTATAAGAAACTATCAAACTTTTTCAGAGTGGCTGTACAATTTTACATTCCTACCAGTAATATGGATCCAGTTTCTATACCTCCTAAGCGTTTGGTGTATCACTACTTTTCATCTTAGCATTTTGGTAAGCAGGTAGTAATATCTGATTTTGGTTTTAATTTGAATTTCCCTGGTGGCTAATGATGTTGAACATCTTTTCATGTGCTTTCTTGCCTCTGTATATCCTGTTCAATGAAATGTCTATTCATGTCTTTTTCCTATTTTATAATTGGATTTTTTTAACCTGTTGAGTGTTCAGAGTTCTTCAAATATTCAAATCTTCAAATGAAGAGAAGGCCTTTATCTGATATGTGGTTTGGAAATATTTTCTTCCACTGTAGCTTGTTTTTCGTCCTCTTCAAAAGGTCTTTCACAGGGCAAAGGTTTTAAATTTCTTTTCTGCAGGGCACGGTGACTCCCACCTGTAATCCCAGCACTCTGCGAGGCCTAGGTGGATGGACCACCTGAGGTCAGGAGTTTGAGACCAGCCTGGCCAACATGGTGAAACCCCGTCTCTACTAAAAATACAAAAATTAGCGGGGTGTAGTGGTGCATGCCTGTAGTCCCAGCTACTCGGGAGGCTGAGGCAGGAGAATGGCTTGAACCCGGGAGGCTCGGTCTCAAAAAGAAAAAAAAAAACAAACAGGAGAATAATGAAATTTTACTTATTTATTTTATTTTATTTATTTTTTAGAGACCGAGTCTCGCTCTGTCACCCAGGTTGGAGTGCCCTGGCGCAGTCTCGACTCACTGCAACCTCTGCCTCCCGGGTTCAAGCGATTCTCCTGCCTCAGCCTCCCGAGTAGCTGAGACCACAGGCGCCTGCAACCACGCCCGGCTAATTTTTGTATTTTTAGTAGAGACGGGGTTTCACCATGTTGCCCAGGCTGGTCTCGAATTCCTGAGCTCAAGTGATCCTCCCGCCGCCGCTTCCCAATGTGCTGGGATTACGGGCGTGAGCCACCGTGCTAGGCCAAAAGTTTTAAATTTCAGTACGTTCCAATTTATCAGCTTTTTCCTTTTATAGATTGGTCTTTTGGTGTCGTCTAAAAAACTATTTGGCCCTAGGTCCTGAGAATTTTTTTTTAACTCTTTTTTTTCCCCATCAGTGATTTATTATTTTATATTTAAATCTATGATTCATTTTGAGTGAATTTTGTATAAGGTGTGAGGTTCAGGTTGAGGTTCTTTGGGTCTATATTTGTCCAATTTACCCAGCATCATTTCTTGAAAAGGCTCCTGATTCCATTTTTGTACCTTTCCCCTGAGAGCAGTGGGAATGTTTTTCTGAAAAAGTATGTCAGTGATGATGTGATGCCTTGTGCAAAATCTGTATTGGCATCTCACAACGTAAGATTTGGCTCTATTCTAACGGCATTTTCTACCACTCGATGTCCAACGTAATACTTGGCTCTCAGGGAATCACTGGGCTGGCTGGCTCACTTCATGCAGGTCTATTCTATTATCACTTCCTCAGAGATTTCTCTGGCCTTTTCTTCACAGCACTTACATAATGAGATCTATTACATATTAATTTGCTTATCTGTTTCTTGTTTTCCTATACTCCTATCCCTCCCAGAAGCTCCAAGAAAGCATACTGTTGTATCCCTAGGGCCTAGAATAATGCGTCCACATAGTAGGTATTCAATAAAATCTTTTGCTTGACTTAGAAAAGGTGAATAAACACAAAGCGGGAGCGAAAAGTTTACTTCTAGGTCAGGCGCTTTTTGGACGTCATGTAAAGTGTGAGCGCCACCTCTCGGGAAGCCAATTTGCTCGCGAACAAAGGAAGTGAGTCAGAGAACCCGGGGGTTGAGGGAAGAAAGCAAGCAGCTAACCGGAAAGGTCTGAAAAAGCTAGCGCCGGAAGTTAAACAGCAGAAAGTTGTTCTCTAGAATGACTGCCTACTCCCAAGAGGAAGCGTGGGCGAGCGGTGTTCTGCAAAATGGGCTCTCCGGCAGCGGATCTGCGCAGAAGCGTTCCGTGCGTGCGAGTGCTGCGAACCACGTGGGTCCCCGGCGCGTTTCGGGTTCCGGCGGCTGCAGCAGGAGTTCAAGCCTAAGCAGCTGGAAGGGTAAGAGGTGTTCGGGATCCTGAGAGGGAAAGGAAAGGAGTGTAGTCGCGGGAGAGAGTTAGGTGAGGAGTTAGTGAAGAGGTCAGTTCAGCTCTAAGAGCCGGCGAGGAGGATCGGATGGAAGGAGGGGCAGGGAGCGCCTGTGGACAAGTGCAGACCGGTCGGCGCACGTCCCGTGCCGCATGGACTCGCCTTTGTCGGTGGCCGCCTTTCTCGTCAGGCCGCGACGACAGGGCTGTGCCTTATTTGCCTCTGTCGAGAGCAGTGCCGGGAACGGAGTTGGCGTTCTATAAGGCCTTGCTGAATAAATGACGGGCGTGTGTGTCATTCATTCAGCAAGGACTGAGTGCTTACTGTTGTGTCACCGGGATCGATGTGGAGGGACATTTTTAGGATCTATTTCTGGCGCTTTAGTCCTGTTTTCTCCTGGACAGTATTCTTGCCCCGCATCCCATCGGGCGATTCTCCGCAGTCTTTTTTTTTTTTTTTTTTTTTTGAGACGGAGTCTCGCTCTGTCGCCCAGGCTGGAGTGCAGTGGCCGGATCTCAGCTCACTGCAAGCTCCGCCTCCCGGGTTCACGCCATTCTCCTGCCTCGGCCTCCCGAGTAGCTGGGACTACAGGCGCCCGCCACCTCGCCCGGCTAGTTTTTTGTGTTTTTTTGGTAGAGACGGGGTTTCACCGCGTTAGTCAGGATGGTCTCGATCTCCTGACCTCGTGATCCGCCCGTCTCGGCCTCCCAAAGTGCTGGGATTACAGGCTTGAGCCACCGCGCCCGGCCTCTCCGCAGTCTTTGGGCTTTGTCTCTTTTTTTTTGGAGGTTATAAATGATTTTCTTTGCTCTTATTGACTGCTAGGCCCTGTGGCTAGGTACCATAGACCTACACGGGAGTAAGTCAGCCTGGTATGCAGGCCAGAGACCGGTGGGGAGGCAGACACACAAACAGAAAATTGGGCTACAGTGCTAAGATGCTGTAAGAAGAGGTTAACTAAAGGACAGGAAGGTGGAGCCAACAGGTGGAGCTGCTGTGTACATCAGAGATTGTCTTTCAAGGCGAGGGGCCTCCCATCTCAAGATGTGATACAGGGTAGGTCATGAGCCAGTCTTCTGTAAAATGAGGGATCTGGACAGAATAGGTACTCTCTAGGCTTCCTTTCAGTATGATGTCCCGTATCAGGTATTCCTCATGTCTGTAGCTCTCCCACACCCCGCCGTTTATTGACTAGTCAAAATATTATTTGCATTGTAAAGTGTAGCATACATTACAAGAATGGATTAATGGGTTGGAAATGCTGGGTTTTGGCCTTCATTCTGGTGCTCTGGTCCTGTTTCTTCATTTGTAAAATGAAGGGGGTTGTAAAGATATATTCTCTAAAACCCCTAATGCTGTGGATGTGGCGTTAAGTCAAACTATTATTTCTTACTGCTTTGTACCAGACATCACTTTCACATTAGTAAAACTTTTTATCAGTATAGTTTCTCCCAAGCTCGATTACTGAGAAAGATAGTTTTTACCTCCTGTATCCTAGTTCCACCACAGTGTTTGGTACACAGTAGATGCTTAAAAGAAGCTTCTTATATCAAATGGTGGCCAGGCACAGGGCTCATGCCTGTAATCCCAGCACTTTGGGGGGCTGAGGCCGGTGGATTACTTGAGGTCAGGAGTTGGAGACCAGCCTGGCCAACATAGTGAAACCCCATCTCTGCTAAAAAAAAAAAAAATACAAAAATTAGCTGGGCGTGGTGGCACGTGCCTGTAGTCCCAGCTATTCAGGAGGTTGAGGTAGAATAGCTTGCCTGGGAAGTGGAGGTTGCAGTGAGCCAAGGTCGCGCCACTGCATTCTATCCTGGGCGACAGAGCAAGACCCCATACCAAAAAAAAAAAAGGGGGGGGGGGGCTGGGCGTGGTGGCTCATGGCCATAATCCCAGCACTTTGGTAGGCTGAGGTGGGTGGATCACTTGAGGACAGGAGTTCAAGACCAGCCTGGGCAACATGGCGAAACCCCATCTCTAAAAAAACCACAAAAACCAAAACAAAAATAAAATAAATCAAATGGGATAGAAATTATAGTCTTTGCTTTTGGATCCTTTCCCACATTGACATATTAGTTCATAGATGAGGGGACTGGGGAGGAATTGGGTTTTTACCAGAGGGAGGCCTGCAGCTGACCTGACAGATTTAAACCAGCTTTATGGGATAATCCGCTTGAGAAGGATGACGATGTAGGCAAGTGATTCAGCGCCGTTTCATTCCTCTACCTGTCTATCCCCAGGACCATGGCCAACTGTGAGCGTACCTTCATTGCGATTAAACCAGATGGGGTCCAGCGGGGTCTTGTCGGAGAGATTATCAAGCGTTTTGAGCAGAAAGGATTCCGCCTTGTTGGTCTGAAATTCATGCAAGTAAGTGGACTTCATTGTTCCCATTTTGATTTCTTCATAGTATAGGAGAACACTGTGATTAACCTGTTTCTCCCCGGCTTTCTTATTTAAACTTCTTCATGGTAGAGTGGACACAAGTGTCTTGAGACGTGGAAACACCTCAGTGCCCTAGCGTTTGGCTACATTTAGGATTTTCCAAAATAGTCTCTGTAATATGAGGTGCATTGCTATGGGAAAAGCAGTGCAGAGTTCCACATATGACTGCATCTCTGTAATTTGTGACTCAGCTGAGCATGTTTGAGTTCTTGGTCTTGAGCTTCCTGAGCAGATAATTTTAGAGAGATTTTTTTCCCCCTTTGAGACAGGTTATTTTTTTAGCAAGAAAATCTTCCATCATCAATTACTAGACACTCATCAATGCTTATTGTCTAGCATTTATTAGGTACCATAGGAGCTTGTGGAGGAAAACTATGGTTTTGGTTTTGGGGAGGTTCTCCTGAAATAGCAGAGAGCAGATGTACCTGCAAGCTACTTACAAAGCAATCTTCTGATAAATGCAAGGGATTGATTGACCAGTAACCCCTCTTTAAACACATTCTAGAGATAAGAATTCAAATTCTTGGCTGGGCAGGGCACAGTGGCTCATGCCTGTAATCCCAGCACTTTGGGAAGCCAAGGCGGGCTGGTCACTTGAGGTCAGGAGTTCAAGACCAGCCTGGCCAACATGGCGAAACCCCATCTCTACTAAAAATACAAAAATTAGCTGGGTGTCAGGGCGGGCACCTGTAATCCCAGCTACTCGGCAGGCTGAGACATAAGAATTGCTTGAACCGGCCGGGCGCGGTGGCTCAAGCCTGTAATCCCAGCACTTTGGGAGGCCGAGATGGGCGGATCACGAGGTCAGGAGATCAAGACCATCCTGGCTAACACGGTGAAACCCCGTCTCTACTAAAAAGAATACAAAAAACTAGCCGGGCAAGGTGGCGGGCGCCTATAGTCCCAGCTACTCAGGAGGCTGAGGCAGGAGAATGGCGTGAACCCGGGAGGCGGAGCTTGCAGTGAGCCCAGATCGCGCCACTGCACTCCAGCCTGGGCGACAGAGCGAGACTCCGTCTCAAAAAAAAAAAAAAAAAAGAAAAAAGGAATTGCTTGAACCGGCCAGGTGCGGTGGCTCACGCCTGTAATCCTAGCATTTTGGGAGGCTGAGGCGGGCAGATCACCTGAGGTCAGGAGTTGGAGACCAGCCTGACTAATATGATGAAACCCCGTCTCCACTAAAAATACAAAAATTAGCCAGGCTTGGTGGCATGCGCCTGTAATCCCAGCTTCTCGGGAGACTGAGACAGGAGAATTGCTTGAACTGGGGAGGTGGAGGTTGCAGTGACTGAGATCGCATCATTGCACTCCAGCCTGTGCAACAAGAGTGAAACCCCATCTCCAAAAAAAAAATTGCTTTTGAACCCAGGAGGCGGAGGTTTCAGTGAGCCGAGATTGCACCATACCGCTGCCTGGGCAACAGGGAGACTCTGTCTCAAAAAAAAAAAAAAAAAAAAAAAAAAAAGATTCCAATTCTCAAATCAAATAGAGGATAGTATGTTTTCCTAAAAGGGCATCAATTTTAGGCCTTTCTAGTACATTTTAAATTTTAGTTTGACTTTCAATTTACTTACTATGTGATGTTTTAGAAAAATTGCTTTAGGGCTGGTGCGGTGACTCACCTGTAATCCCAGCACTTTGGGAGTCTCCATCTCCAAAAAAAGAAAAGAAAACTGCTTTAATGTAAAAGAGGGTAGACTGATGTTCATGCCGAGAGAAGAATATGGTGTCCAAGCTCTAGGAGCTGGCATCTAATGTAGGTTTTCTTGCTGCATCATCCCATAACAGAATAGAAGGGCAAGAGAGTGCAAGAGTGAGAGAGAGCTAGAGAGAGAGCAAGAGGGGGTTGACCTTGATTTTATAACAAACCCACTCCTGAGATAAGACATTAATCTATTCATGAGGGTGAAGCCCTCATGACCTAAAACCTCCCATTAGGCCCCACCTCCCCACATTGTTGCATCGAGGATTAAATTTCCGACGTGAACTTTTGGGGACACATATAGATCACAGCAGAAGGTAACATGAAATGAATGTGTTGTTGATCAGGCATTTACCATATGCTGGGCACATATGTTTCCTGATTTAGTCTTCATGCCAGCCTTGAGAAGTACTTCCTCCTGTGTTCGTGGTTGTTAGTGATGAGCAACCTAAGGCTTGAAGAGGTTCGGTGATGTGCCTGATAGCATACAGTGATGCCGCTGGGATTTTAACTTGAGTCTCTCTGACCCCTGAGCGCAGACATTTTCTCCTTTACATTGAATTTCCTATTAAGGATATATGGGTTTGGTGAAGAATGGATGGAAGGATAGCGGCCATGACTCTAAAGGGCTATTTAAATCTGCTGTGGAGGTAGGAAGCAAGGGAGAACTTGAGGTTCCCAACCCCCAAGCCCTTAAAAAAGCCTATGGTCTGCTTGGCAGACTAAAGATCATCAGTTAGGGCCCGGTGTGGTGGCTCACATCTGTAATCTCAGCATTTTGGGAGGTCAAAGTGGGCGGATCATCTGAGGTCAGGAGTTCGAGATCAGCCTTGCCAACATGGTGAAACCCCATCTGTACTAAAAATACAAAGTTTAGCTGGGTGCGATGGTGCATGCCTGTAGTCCCAGCTACCAGGGAGGCTGAGGTGGGAGGATAGCTTGAACTTGGGAGGTAGAGGTTGCAGTGAGTGGAGATCGAGCTACTGCACTCCCTCCTGGGTAACAGAGCAAGACCCCGTCTCAAAAAAAGATAATCAGTTAGTCGGGTGTAGTGGTGCACCCTTGTAGTCCTAGCTACTGAGAACCTGAGGCAAGAGGACTGCTTGATCCTGGGAGTGTGAGGCTGCAGTGAGCTATGATCATGCCGTTGCACTCCAGCCTGGGTGGCAGAGAGACGCTGTCTCAAAACAAACAAACAAACAACAAAACCAACAAAAAGATAATTGGAACCAATTAATAGAATTAAAAGAGTATTCTGGTAAGGGAGGGTCACCTCAGTGTCTGTTAGGAGACTTCACGACAAAAGTCTTCCATTTGGATAGGAAAGGACAAGGCGAGGGTTGGATCCCTACCACGGAATGATTATGTGGCCATATAATTTTACTTTGGCAAGTGATAACTGGTGGCTGAATGATGGGGCTTTTGGGCTGCCAGTCTCCACATTAGTGTGTGTCTCTAATGTGTGCGATACGCGTCATACAGCGCAGTACCACAGAGCTGGAAAAACCATGGGACCCTGTTACATTTGAACAAGCATATATGCAGTACAAGAGAGAACACAGCCAAATTGAGTTGAAACTGTTAAGCAGATGGTTTGTTCTCTAGCTAACTTGATTTGTTCCCACATATTAGCCTTGCAGTATGAGAAGTTCTAATTCTTTTTTTTTTTTTTTTTTTTTTTGAGATGGATCTCGCTCTGTCACCCAGGCTAGAGTGCAGTGGTGTCACCTCGGCTCACTGCCAGCTCTGCCTCCCGGGTTCACGCCATTCTCCTGCCTCAGCCTCCTGAGTAGCTGGAACTACAGGCACCCGCCACCACGCCTGGCTAATTTTTCATTTTTCAGCAGAATGATTTATTGCTAGATGTCATTTACTTTTGGGTGATTTGCAGATACCTTTGGGAATCACATGGTCATCACGCTGGGCTTTTATCCTCTGAGTAAACGTGAAGCATCCCTGGGTAATGGCCTGGTTTAGTTTGCTGCTCATCAAATGCCAAGACTTGGTCCCTGGTGTCCTTCTAACATTTTATTTGGGGTTTGCTCTGGGAATGGAAATTTATTGTATTGTTAATTTTCCTGCCTAAAATGAGATGGTTGAGGGCCAGGCATGGTGGGTCATGTCTGTAAGCCCAGCACGTTGGGAGGCCGAGGCTGGAGGATCACTTGAGTCCAGGAGTTTGAGACCAGCCTGGGCGACATAGTGAGACCTTATCTCTACAAATAATTTTTTAAAATTAGCCAGGTATGGCTGGGCGTGGTGGCTTATGCCTGTAGTCCCAGCATTTTGGGAGGCTGAGGCAGGCAGATCACCTGAGGTCAGGAGTTTGAGACCAGCCTGGCCAACAACCCTGTTTCTACTAAAAATACAAAAATTGACTGGGCGTGGTGGGCGGGCATCTGTAATCCCAGCTACTTGGGAGGCTGAGGCAGGAGAATCACTTGAACCTGGGAGGTAGAGGTTGCAGTAATCAGGATCACGCCACTGCACTCGAGCCTGGATGACAGAGGGAGACTCTGTCTCAAAATAAATAAATAAATAAATAAATAAATAAATAAATAAAATTAGCCAAGTCTGGTAGTGTGTCTACAGGCCTACCTATTCGGGAGTCTGAGGCAGAAGGAACACTTGAGCCCAGAAGTTTGAGTTTTTTTTAAATGAGATAGCTGAATTTAATTTTAATGTTCTGTGGTTTTATTATCAGTCAATGCCAATAGGGAGACAACTGATATAAAATTGGAGAAGTACTTTTAGTCCTGTCACTGCTCCCTTCCAGTGTGGAGAATGAATTGGGTTATAACAGAATCAGTAAGCCCAACCACTCATGTTTTACATAGCAGGGTGGGTGAGGGGGATTTACATGGATTATATGTTCTTAGATGGTTTGGGGCCATTCTCATTCTCCGTCCTGTTGAATAGGCCTCTGAAGACCTTCTCAAGGAACACTACATCGACCTGAAAGACCGTCCGTTCTTTGCCGGCCTGGTGAAATACATGCACTCAGGGCCGGTAGTTGCCATGGTGAGTGTGCCTGAGATACTCCAAGTATGCATTGCTTGTCATCTGCGCTAGGCTCTCTTCTAGACACTGGGGATACAGTCATGAATGAGACCAAGTAGATATCTGTTTTCATATATCAGCTAATGGTTAGTGATAGGCTTCAGAAATGACATAGGTTAGTGATAGGCCCAGAAATGAATAGGAGTAGCAAGTGATCACTTTAGATTGGATGATCAAAGAATGCAATTTTTAAGCTGCGATCTGAATGACAAGAAGCAGCCAGCTATGTACAGAATCACAGTGAAAAACATTTCCAGCCAAGCAAACAGCATGTGCAAAGTTCCCAGGGTGGGAATGAGCTTGATTTTTGAAGTATGGGAGGAGAATTGAAATGCCCGAAGCCTGATGGGTGGGAGGGAAGTTGGGATGTGAAGAGTTCAGAGGCATGGGCAGGGGCCTCCTCTCTTAGGGGTGTGTTGACCATGTAGTTCCTGAGTGCTGGGAAGCTATGGGACACTTCACACTTGGCCTTTTTTTTTTTTGAGACGGAGTCTCGCTTTGTCACCCAGGCTGGAGTGCGGTGGCGCAATCTCGGCTCACTGCAAGCTCCACCTCCTGGGTTCACGCCATTCTCCTGCCTCAGCCTCCTGAGTAGCTGGGACTACAGGTGCCCGCCACCATGCCCGGCTAATTTTTTTGTATTTTTAGTAGAGACGGGGTTTCACTGTGTTAGCCAGGATGGTCTTGATCTCCTGATCTCGTGATCCGCCCGCCTCAGCCTCCCAAAGTGCTGGGATTACAGGCTTGAGCCACCGTGCCCAGCGCACACTTGGCATTTTAAGGAGGCTGCTCTGGTTGCTGAATGGAGTGTACATTGTAGAAAGGCAAGCATCGCCGGGCGCGGTGGCTCACGCACTGTAATCCCAGCACTTTGGGAGGCCGAGGCAGGTGGATCACCTGAGGTCGGGAGTTCAAGACCAGCCTGACCAACATGGAGAAACCTCATCTCTACTAAAAATACAAAATTAGCCGGGGTGGTGGCACATGCCTGTAATCCCAGCTACTCGGGAGGCTGAGGCAGGAGAATCGCTTGAACCCGGAAGGCGGAGGTTGCGGTGAGCTGAGATCGCGCCATTGCACTCCAGCCTGGGCAAAAAGAGTGAAACTCTGTCTCAAAAAAAAAAAAAAACAAAAAACAAAAAACAAAGGCAAGCATCAGGGCAGGGAGACCAGGATCCCTAGTGCTGGAGGAAGTGGATACTCTAAATATTTGTTCAGTGAATGAATATCATCTTAAGGGGCCTTTTTATTTTTCCTATTTTTGGATTAATAGTTGCCAGATTTTCTGCTGAGATTGGTTTTCTTCTTTGATCATATCTTCTTCTGTCCTTGGAGGTCTGGGAGGGGCTGAATGTGGTGAAGACAGGCCGAGTCATGCTCGGGGAGACCAACCCTGCGGACTCCAAGCCTGGGACCATCCGTGGAGACTTCTGCATACAAGTTGGCAGGTGAGATTTTGCTCTTTTTCCCCCTTTTCCAAAATCTGATTTAGTTGCTACAAGGATTTGGGTTTCTGAGGCTGGAGGTAGACATGATACCATATGCAGGTTGATTTTATTGGAGTTTATTGTTTTCCTCCCCCTTAAGTTGGTGTTTGGCTTTGGTTTTTAAAATCACTGTAGTTGTACCTCTGTTACACGAAGTGTAGAACCTGGTACAACACACTTTGCTGGCCATAGTCTTTCCTGAAGGCTCTTACTGTTTGCACCAGTGTGACGGGGAGGGCTGGATGTGGGGAGGGCATTTTTCACCCTTACATGAATGGCCATTATAGTCTTTTTCTTTTAACATGGTCTAATGTCCATGGAGCTTCAGCTTTTATGCTGCCGTGGCTGTAGATTTCTGGCAATGGGCGCATTTTAATCCTTCTGGTCTTGGTCATGTGACTGTCTCTTTCTCCACCCAGGAACATTATACATGGCAGTGATTCCGTGGAGAGTGCAGAGAAGGAGATCGGCTTGTGGTTTCACCCTGAGGAACTGGTAGATTACATGAGCTGTGCTCAGAACTGGATCTATGAATGACAGGCGAGCAGGCCACAATGCTTTCACATCCATTTCTCCTCCTTCCCATGGGCAGAGGACCAGGCTCTAGGAAATCTAGTTATTTAAAGGAACTTCGTCATAATTTGGAAGGAAGCTCTTGGAGCTGTGAGTGCTCCCTGTACAGTGTTACCATCCCCTACCATCTGATTAAAATGCTTCCTCCCAAAGTAGGATTCATTGAGTTGGCTACTTTGTATTGTTGTATTTTTTTTTCTTCTTTTCATGTACACTGAATAACCTGACCTAATAGAGAATGTAAATACTATAAAAATTATTTATATTGAGATCTCACATACACACAGGCATTCTTTGACTGCCCTTCTTAAACCCTGCGTCCCTTCCACTCTTGGCACGGAGCTACTCAACAGGCATCTATGGAGCACCTGCTACATGGCCAAGACTGGACTAGGTGCAGAGGATTCATCAGAAATAAAACATGAGGGCTGGGTGTGCTGGCTTGTGCTTGTGATACCAGCTGCTTGAGAGGCTGAGGTGGGAGACCAGCCTGGGTAACAGAGCAAGACCCTGTCTCACAAAAAAAAAAAAAAAAATTAGGCTGGGTACAATGGCTCATGCCTTTAATCCCAGCTATTCAGGAGGCTGAGGGGAAGAATCGCTAGAGGCCAGTACGAGTCCAGCGTGGGCAACATAGCAAGACACTGACTTTACAAAAAAAAAGAAAAATTAGCTCTGGTGCTGTACACCTCTAGTTCTAGCTGTGGGGAAGGCATAATAGGCAGGAGGATTGTGCCCGGGAGTTCAAGGCTGCAGTGAACCATGATCATGCTACTGTACTTCAGCCTGGGTGACAAAGTGAGACCAGTCTCTTAAATAAAAACATATCCATCCTGTTCTTGAGAAGCTCTTGGGGATTCAGTGAACGGGGGAGTGTGGGAAGTTGTAATTCCTCTGAAAATCAGAAAAGCTAGGTAGACAGTAGGCCTGGGTCCCTGGGATGTCCTCAAATGAAGCAGGAGGTCTTGTAAGTAGCTTTGATTTGTTAGGATATTGATTTGGTTGCTTTAATGGAGACAAGATAGAAATGTACTTCTCTTTCATTTGAAAGTTCAAGTGTGGTCAGGTGCAGTGGCTCATGCCTATAATCCCAGCACTTTGGGACAGTGGCTCATGCCTATAATCTCAGCACTTTGGGAAGCCAAGGCAGGAGGATTGCTTGAGCCCAGGAGTTTGAGACCAGCCTGGGGAACAGAGTGAGACCTCATCTCTTCCAAACATTAAAAATTAGTCGGGTGTGGTGGCACATTCCTATAGTCCTAGCTACTCAGGAGGCTGAGGGAAGAGGATTGCTTGAGCCCCAGAGGTTGGAGCAGTGAGCTGTGATCCGCCTCTGTCCTTCAGCCTGGGTGACACAGTGAGACCTGTCTTCAAAAAAAAGCCCTAACTACTCAGTAGAGGTGATCATAGTGGTAAGGCTCTGATCTTTAAGGTGGTCTGCACACACCTGGTTCCTTCTAATCAGTCCTACTTGGATTACCCCCCAATGTTCCTGCAAGTTGGGAAAGGAAGTGGAAGAAGTATCCCTTTTAAAGAGACATCTCTGAATTATAACCTTCACTTCCTCTCATATCCCATTGGCTAGAACTTAGGCATATGGCTGCATCTAGCTGCAAGGGAAACTGAAAATTTTTTTTCTTTTGAGACAGGGTCTCACTCTGTTGCCTAGGATGCAGTGCAGTGGTGTGATCACAGCAGCTCACTGCAGCCTCGACCTCTCTGGGCCCAAGTGATCTCCTACCTTAGCCTCTGGAGTAATTGGGACTACAGGCACGTGCCACCACGCCCAGCTAATGTTTGTATTTTCTGTAGAGATGGGGTTTCGTCACGTTTCCCAGGCTGGTCTCCAATTTCTGGGCTCAAGGGATCTGCCTGCCTGGGCCTCCCAAAGTTCTGGGCTTATAGGCGTGGGCCATCGTGCCCAGACTGAGGGTTTTTCTTTCTTTTTTTTTTTTTTGAGATGAAGTCTTGCTCTTGTCACCCAGGCTGGAGTGTAATGGTGCGATCTTGGCTAACTGCAACCTCTGCCTCCTGGGTTCAAGTGATTCTCCTGCCTCAGCCTCCCGAGTAGCTGGGATTACAGGCGTGTGCCACCATTGCCGGCTAATTTTTGTATTTTTAATAGAGATGGGTTTTCACCCTGTTAGTCAGGCTGGTCTTGACCTCAGATGATCCACCTGTCTCAGCCTCCCAAAATGCTGGGATTACAGGTGTGAGCCACTGCGCCCGCCTGCTGAGGGTTTTCTTATCTTTCCTGTTCATCTGGCTTCGGTAGAGGCAATAGAGGGGCAGGGACTTCTCAGGAGGGGGGAGAAGAGGATAGTTGGGGTGGGCTGCCTTTATGGACAGATGAGGGCGAGATTATTATTATTATTTTTTAATTTTTGAGATGGACACTCATTCTGTTGCCCAGGCTGGAGTGCAGTGGCACGATCTCAGTTAACTGCAACCTCTGCCTCCGGGGTTCAAGCGATTCTCCTGCCTCAGCCTCCTGAGTAGCTGGGATTACAGGCATGCGCCACTACGCCCGGCTGATTTTTGTATTTTTAGTGGAGAGGGGGTTTCACCATGTTGGTCAGGCTTGTCTTGAACACCTGACCTCGTGATCCACCTGCCTCGGCCTCTCAAAGTGCTGGGATTACAGGTGTGAGCCACTCCACCTGGCCTGAATTTCTATTAATATTTTACATAAAGTGTGGCCTGTTTGTTTTGGGGCGTGAGAGGAGCATACCAGGGCTTGGGGAATGAACATGTGTGTAGTGGAGCTGGAGGGTTACAGCCTCCCCAGTTAAGGACAGTCTTCCCAGGAAGGAAAGAAGAGGTGAAAGCAGAGGGGTGGTCCTGACTGTACCCTAAGTAGCCATCAGTGACCTGACCAAGGGGCAGTTAGCTCTCCCCTGGACAGAGAAAAGTCCGTGAAATTTCCAGAGCTGTTTCCACAGTTGACATTTGGTAATCCAAATGAGAGTGTGCTTCAGATTGAAGCCAAAAAATACAGTGCCCCCAAATGAGGGCACATGACAGTCATTGTCAATGTCTGGTGGGCTAATGCTCTGTAACTAGAAGTTTGGAAAGTAGATAAGGTGTAACAGAGGTCAGGTTGTCATCTATCTGGCCAGTGACAGGTAATCAGCGCAGTGGTAGGGGCACTGGGGTGATGGCATGATTGCTGTGGTCAGCTCAGAGTCCTGAGGGGAAGCAAGCGGGCGCCCACCATGTCAGGGCAGTACCACTGTGTGCGGCTGTCAGTCAGTGCTGCAGGCACGAAGAGGGGCTCGTGACCGCCCCAGGGAAGTTGGGCATCACCAAAGGGAGCTTGTTTGCAGTTTACACACTGCAAGTAGGAAGTGTGTACAGGTCGATGACAGACCTGATCTCTATGACAGGGTCTAGACTTTCCTCAGGGTCCAGGGGCGCACCTCAGGGTGAACTGGAAAGCTCGACTGCACTTTAGTGCCAGGTGGGCAGGGATCCCTATCTCAGGGTGGGAGTGGGGCAGCTGATTGGGGCTGGAAATGTAGGTAGGGAGGCGGCAGCCAGGCAGCAGGGCATCCTGCGAAAAGAGCATCTCGCTAAGGAGTCTGAACGCCATCCTGTAGGAGGGGGAGTCATCAAGGCAGGGCAGTGGCAGGACCAGAAGGCTGTCTCAGGTGCTGAGCGAGGCTCCCGGTTTGCGGGGAGAGGTGAGATCGAGGCGGGGAGAGGTGAGATCGAGGCCCGTTGGGAGGCCGAGGCTTAACCAGGGCTCAAGCAGAGGGGAGGGAAGGCTGGATTTCAGAGGTAGGGAGGATAAGGACTGTGGGTGCACGACGGGGAGGGAGAGTCAAGTCAAGGTTAATGCCGGTGCTGAAAGCAGCAGATGGCCTTGACCGGGGTAGAGAACTCGAGCACAGGAGCAGGTTCTGTGTGTGTGTGTGTGTGTGTGTGTAGGAGCTTTTGGCTTCACGGGAAGTACTGAGAGGTGAGGAGTGGGATTTGGGACGTGCGTAGTTGAACTCATAGGACGTCCAGGTGGAGAAGGAATCACTTCCTGTCTCTGGATTCTTTTTGATCACTGCCTGGCGAGGGCGCGCCCCGGTTGGGCGTGGACACGCTTCTCTGGCCGCGTCCGGCCGGGCGGGTGGGGCGTTCCTGCGGGTTGAGAGGCTAGGTCCTCCGGGGTGTGGCCACGCCGCGCTCCGCCCTGCGCCCCTCCTCCGCTGCCGGCTCCCGGGTGTGGTGGTCGCTCCAGCTCTCTGCTCTCGCAGCGCAGCGCCGCCACTCGGCCCCTCCAGCTTCCCAGTAAGGCGGTGGGGCGCATTCCCTGGCGACTCCTCCGGCTCCCTCTTCTGCTTGCGCTGCCGCAGGTGGGCCGGGTCTGTGGGGGTCCCCCGATTTCCCGCAGGTCCCGCGCGGGGTCGGAGCGGGAGATTCCTTTGCAGCTTGCGCCCCGCGGGCCTTCGGGCTCCGCAGAGTGACGCCGGCCCTGCGCGGGGCGGAAGCGCCCGGGAAGCCACGTGTCCCCGCGGCCGCGCGTGGTGGGGGAGGCGGGCCCGGCCGCGCCCACGTGGCCTCCGCGGGCCACGCCAGGGCCTCCGTCCGGACCCTGACCGCACCTCTCGCCTCGCAGGACCATGGCCAACCTCGAGCGCACCTTCATCGCCATCAAGCCGGACGGCGTGCAGCGCGGCCTGGTGGGCGAGATCATCAAGCGCTTCGAGCAGAAGGGGTTCCGCCTCGTGGCCATGAAGTTCCTCCGGGTAACTCGCCCCAGTCTCCCCTTCCCCCACTGCAGCCGGCTAGCGGGTGTTTTTCCCTCCTGGCGGCGGTTTGTCGGCGTCTCCTTTCCGAGTCCATTTCGCGGCCGCGAGAATCCCTTTGCCCTCTGCCCCCGCCCACGGCGGCTCTGGCCGGCCGACCATTTCCCGGGGCGGTGGGGACAGACGCCCTTGGGAAGGTGAAGCGCGGGTAGCGTGACTCGCCCTCCGGGTCTGGCTTCCTTCCCGCCGGCCTCCACCTGCCCACCGGCCGCAGGGAGGCAGCAGGGAGCGGAGAAACCCCGTGCACCAGACCCCCTGCGCCTGCCCACGCGGGTCCACCTACGCACGGAATGGAGACTTAAGAATGTCCTTTGCTTTAGTCTGAAACTCCGAGTTCCAGTGCGGTGCTCCTCCTTTAGCATAGGGTAGGA